TTAAATTTCAATTTAAGTATTGTTGCAATATAAACCTCCAGTGCTACATTATAATCGATAATGATGGTCTCTTGTATGTCTCTAATTATATTTTGATTTAAAATTTACCAAGTTCAAGAATTCAGTTTTTATTTCAATTACAATAAGCTTAATAAATATGTACAAATAATATTATAGAAGCATATAGCACAAATAGTATAAGATATTGCAAGCGTAATAAAAGAGTCTGTTTCTAAATTAATGATTTATATATATATGTATATTTTTGTGTTTTGTTAATTTATATATAAAAATAAAAGCATCTATTATAAAACTACAATAAAGTTATAAAAATGTTTATTAAGTTATGCTCTTCAATAAATCATATTAAGCTGATTATAAACCAATTAAAAAATAAATTAATATAATATAGACAATTGTGGTCAAACCTAGTTATGTATTAAGTAAAGTGAAAACTTTTATAATCCTTAAATCAAAGTCCGATATAGCTAATAAGTTTAAGACAATGAATTCAGCATTTTCTGTCCATACACTGATTCAACAAAATGGGGAAACCATTAATTTTTTCCGCCCAACGTTTTAATAATTACCGATTAGCTGTTAAAAACCACCAAAATACCACGCTGACCTATCCGATATAAGAAAATTTAAATGTAATCCCGAAAAAAAACAATCACAGCTAAACATCGATGTAGTCCAAACCTTTAACCGTTAAGAAAACGTATATTCTTGCATTTTATGTACGGAATCGAGCGATAAGCAATTTGGTCTATAGACCGCTTTATAACTTCAGTTACTAGAATATGTGCGGTTTTCAAGTCAGCATATGATTTTCCATGTGTAAACAGTAATACTTAGTCCTCTTTTATATCCGACCTCAATGATATTAGCTCCATTTCATTAGGTATGGAATCATTTTAGCACGCAGAGTACACTCATAAAAAACCAAATATAAATGCGTATAAATGTTTTTCGCATAAACTACTAGAATACAATCACATTCGCCTCAGATATGATTCATAAGTGTATTTGATAATGAATGTCGGTGCTATTGAATCAGCTTCACAAGAATGTATACACACTTCTAAGTAGAATAGCATGATTGGCAAATGATTCATGAATCATAGCATGTACTCAAGTGGCATGAATATACTCATCGAAATTGAATGACGATAAATAGTATAAATCATTATAAGTACTGTCAGTTGTATGTATAAATCAGATGGAGTTGAATATACCAAAAAAAAAGTCAGAATACATATAAATGAAACATTCTCAATGATTCGAGTGTTGAGTACTTATTGCAACTCTCTGGTATAGACATATCCATGTTATGAAGAATGAAATCGACAAATGTTTCTTGGAGGATGGATTCTACTAAATATTATGCAAATAGGATGTCCATGGGACTCTCAATAACTGCTCAAACTTCAGGAGTTGCTATTGTTTATGTGTTTGTTGTTTTCGAAACTTTCTAAGAATCATCTGGTGAAAGTCACAAAAAGTCTTTCTAAATTTCAAACCCCAAAATCTTAGTATTTATACTTTGTGCTTATAGCAGAATTATTTAAGAAATTCTTGAAATATTAAAGAAATTGTTTCAGTTCTCTGTCATTTTCTGCATATTTTACACAAATTTCTGGTTACATCTACTCTGGAACCTATGGAATGTGAATATAGACTTCAAGTCTTCAAATTACATATTACATGAGTAATTAATTTGAGTTACAATTATTAAAAATTTAGTTTAAACAAGTTTTTTTAATTGGAATTTAATCAGCTTTTTACATTTTAATTCTTTGTTCTCTACTTATAGAACATGACAATAATCAACTGAATAAAATATTTTTTAAAAGCATTTAAATTGTTTCATAAAAACCCACTGTTAAATATTAAGCTGTTAATATTAATTGAAGAAAGAGATCTTCGTGGGAAAATCTACTGATGGCAGATAACCCATTACACAGCTTTTAATAGTACTAACTTTAAAATCTTACTATAAAAATATATATAGATATAGATTTATATTCCTCTTAATACTTTTTTTTTTGGAACATTTACAAACTATGATTTAAATGTTTTAAATAAATTTTTATAGTCTAAGATTTTATAATATGATTAAAATCCATATCTGATAAAATAATTTGTCTGAGTAAAAAACTCAGCTGTTAAAAGCTTTAAAACTACTGCATTTAAAAAAAGAAGTTAATAAACTTACTTTCATAATCATTATCTTTATATATACACAACGAGAAAAAAATCTTCGGTACTACATTTACAAATAATAAAATTTTTTATATACAAATATTAACAATATATACAATTAGTTAATTATAAGAGTGGAACTAATAACCACAAGTATCTAATGTGCCCCAATTTTAAGAGAGTTTACAGAGTACATAAATCATTATTAGTATCTGACATTAGGTTTTTTTTTAGAAAAATCTTAAAAACAAGATATTTTAAACATTGCATGCTAACACTTAACATATTAAGCTTAGTACTCACCAAGCGAACGTTTTACTCGTAAACTGTGCCTTTCTTAGAAAATTTTTTCTTGTACGCAAAATGTTCGCTTTGGTGAATACTAAACATTACATCTTGACACATACAAAAGATATATTATTTTTATCCACATAAAATCAATATTTATAAAATATATATTACATACACATAATTTAATAAACATTTATCATATAGTACACAAAAAATTTTAAATAAATAAATAAATTAACATCGATAAACATTACTAACTTTATTACAGAAAAATTCATATAGTTAATATTATTTTGTATATATTATTTTAGTAGATAAACATGAATATAGATTTATTAAAATAATAAATTCTAACAGAAAATATATTATCTGCATCTGCGAAACATAAACACATATTTATAGAAATAATAATTTCTAACAGAAAATAGAATTCTCTGCATTAACTTTGGAAAATTGCTACGATTGGGGAAAAAAACAGATCTAAGCAATACGATACGACAAACGATACAATAAACATAACGATTAAACGTAACGATTAAACGTCACGATGAACGTCACGATAAACGTTACGATAAAAGTTACGATAAGCAACATGTTTCAATAATTGACTTAATACTACAAATAAGCGATTAGTCCATTATGAGTTTATCTTATAATGTTGTTCTGAGCGATATATTGCTTAATGGTATCGTTTAGATGCTAGTTGTTTTTTTATATGTTACGTTCTCAACTGAGTAGTGACCTTTCGAACAATTATATTGTTATTGTTATCTGGTACGAGAATCTCGTAATTTGGATTTGAATTTGAATCAATTCACATAGCATAGCATAGATCATCATCGCATAGTTCTGCTTATATGTATTTTTTTATATAAGAATAAGAACAATTTCTTCGATTTAATTTTTCTTAATTATAAATAAATAATCTCATAATCACATTAAAAAAGCGAAACTTCAAGCAAAGAAAAAAAAATTAATAGCTTAGCGTAAGTGTTAATTCGTTTATTTTATTTAATTTTTTTTTAAATAATTTTTTTTAAAACTTTTTCCAACTTTAATGACAGTGAATATATAAGCAACGAAAATATTTTGTTAAGATTAAAGATTTGAGTAATGAAATAACCTCATATTCCTAGTGAAACACTAACAGGTCTCTACACACAAAATCAAGTAAACGCTGAGACTAACTCAAATAAACCATTCATATTAGTTATATCTTGTAATTAATAAAATAAAATTTTTATTCTCTCTATAATTTATAGAAAGGTTTCGAAAAGTAGTCAACTACAACAACAAAAATTTTTTTAATATTATTTTAATTAATTGAATTTTTGGCCGATCATACAACTGTTTCGAGTGCTGTCAAATACCCATCATCAGTGGTCTTGGAAATAATGCTTGTAACGTTGAAATCGTACTCATAATTTTTATATATTATAAATAGATTGAATTAGTACATTACAGATATTCATGATCTTAAATGCCAACAACAAAACACATATATTCGAAATGTTGTTGCTGCTTTGCACTATTACTCGTTGCACGAGATCGAGAATACCTCTACAATAGTCCCGAATGTAAAAAGTAATATCATTGCATCATAGCTTAGCTAATTATTGGTATGATCAGTTAATATAGTATATCTGTAATTCCATTGATTTTTCTTTATCTACTATATAATTAGATCTACTGTATAATTATAAGTTTTTACTAGTTTTTTTTATTTTCAACAAATTTTATGTCCTTTGTGTGATAGAGAGAGAGAAAGAGGCCGAGAAATATGGAATTTTACTGTCATGCCAGTTGGAACAAGCTTAATGCAAATGTCTCAGTATTCAATAGATTTGATATAAGCTTTAGATATCAAGTTCTAAATCTATTTTTTCTTCTTGAGCAAGAGAGAAGGTAGAGAGATAGTGAGAGGGATATCATGTTACTGTCATTCCAGTTCGAACAAGTTCAATGCACCTGTTTCCGTGCTTAATAAATTTGAAATAATCTTTAGTTGATAATCTAATAATCTTAACTTTTAAATCTATTTTTTCTTGATAAGAGAGGTAGGAAGGAGGCATAGAGATAGTGAGAGGGATATCATTCTACTGTCATTCCTGTTGGAACAAGCTTAATGCAATTGTCTACATGCTTAATAGAATTTAAAATCTTTAGATTTTAAATCTATTTTTTCTTCTTCATGTCTTTTAGATGTTGTCCTAATGAAGCAAAAAATATATTCATTATATGAATCTCATATTCTAGCTCCTGTTCACGTATTGTGTAAGTGAAAATCTTGCTCCGAAAGAAGAAAATTATTGGTAAAATGCAAAAATGCTTTCAAGAAAATATAAAACATATCAGTAAACTTATATTAAGTGTTATATACGTACATATGAATATAAGATAAATTTTAAAATATTAAAATAAACATTGATTGTATACAGATACTTTGTCCAATGTTTATTATATGCACTTGAAAGCAGTCAAACATATTAAGTGAACAGAATTAATTCACTCACAAATACTTTTCTTATTGGTTGTTACAACATAAACTAACTTCAAGCAAATATACAGAATTCAACACTTTGTCGCATACACTAACAAAATAAAACATATATAACATATAATTAATTTAAAATAAATACGTATTCATATGGAAAAAGTCCTGCTTTACTTTCCTAAGTCTCTTACTTGTCACAATCGATTTCCATCGATCATTTATGCCACAGAATCACTACTTGATTTCATCTCACGTTCACGAAAAAACCCGCGCTCAGTTTTACATTCTCTGATGGTAACTGTTTCCAAATTAACTGTTACATCTGTGATGACCACCTTATCGGATATGTTACATTTTGTTGGTAACCAAAAACGTGGTGGTAGAGCTTTTGGTGAGAGCGGCATTAATGGTAATTGCTGTGACTGATGATGTGGTGATAATGAAAGTTCACCCAGATTATCACCTTTTTGATTGATGTTTTGCTGTTCCGGTTGACTATCAGCTTGTGATGATGAATCATCATCATCTTGTGCATTATATTGTTGTGTTTTTTCAGATGGTGTTGCCTGTTCCGGTCGAGAAGCGGGCGTTTCAGGTGATAATGGTTCAGTTTCTGCTTTTAATGGTGTAGATATTGGCGTTGCAGAATCAACTGAGCAATGATGCTTTACAGCTGGTGGACCATCAGGTGATGTTTTTATAGTAACACCAATTTTACCTGATTCCTTGAGCACTTCTGCTTTACGTTTGGTACCTATAGCTATTTCTTTTTGATTTAAAGGTTGATCATCTGAGCTAGAAGAATTTGTATCGGCTTCAGATATAAAAGCTAAATTCGAGGAATTGCTATGTTCTTTTTGTCGTTTTGTTTCTGCATGCGTATGTGGTGATTCTGAACGACGTCCTGAGCTACGTTCGGATTTTAAGTGATGATGATGGTGATGATCTCGTTTCTTTTCCTTATCTTTTTCTTTATCATGGTGATGATGATGATGATGGTGGTGATGATGATGATGATTTGTTGCGCCTGTAGCGCTTGTAGCTGCTGCTGATGTAGTTGGTTGTATGAGTTCCGCATCATCATTGGTAAATGTGTATTCATCTTCTTCAGATTCCGGTTCTGGATCACGTTCTTTTTCCTTCTTTTTGGGGCCACGTTTAGAGGGAGTATTTGATGATTTATTGCTTTGTTCGTATATTTCAATTAGGCGCCGATCGAGTATATTTACTTCAGGCTCCCAAGTATTATAACGTTGATTCCAACCCTTCCATTTGACCCTATACTCCACAACGCCCTGAAAGAAAGGTAATTATTAGTATTTCTAGACATATGAATATGTAATAAATAATAAAAATAAAAAAGAAATATGTTGTAGGTTGAAATTATTCAATGCATAGAATCGGATTTTAAGAGAAAATTCAATCATTTAATAGTAAAGTTAAAATAGATTCCGAAAATGATATTAACATTATGATATTATCAATCGTTGGGGAATAAAAACCGAAGACATCTGTTCAATTGCTTCTCTATATATAATATATAAACCTTATGAAGATTATTATTATCCATTACTGCTACTCTGTGTTAAATAAATTATAGTTCGCAATTATAGAATCTGTTTCGAACTATTGAATAATTGTTTTAATACATATATAAGTATATATTTAGTTTATTGCCAAAGGTAACGATAAGATTTTAGAACTAGACGAGTCTGTGTGTCTCGGGGACACTTGTCTTTACAGACGATCAAGCGATGGCATATTTCTCAATAGTTGTAAAACTAGTCAGTTTCATCAAGCTATTAATATATCATATTTTTTTGGAATTGATATAACTAATATTGTGCCAAAAACTTTTAGAAAAAATTATGATTGGATTAACTGCATGTTAATTCCAGGTTCTAGATGGAATGAGATCTACATCCAGAAGCTACTCACCTATAGAGACGAATAAAGATCTCTCATACTTGCTGTTCAGAGTCCAAAACAGAAAGCCACATGCCTGGGCTACAACTACAGAATCAGTTATATAATTTCGTTGTCATATTCTACTGAAATCCTAAATAAACCGAAAATTTATACACTCGGAAAGAGAAATAGTAGATAGAGTACTTCTGTTTGATGGGAATAGATTTAAATATTTTGAAAGAAAAACGCAATCCTTGAACCATTTGAGAATATTCCACACATATCTTATTAGATATATATAATATAATCTTATAGATTATAATAAATATTTGTGATTCATTTTATCAAAAAATTCCGTAAATGATTCAAAATATTGGGAGAATATATTGAGATATAAGAAGCGAAGAGCGCTTATAGTACACACGCATAAGAGGGAGAGCAATTTAGGTTGGAATGATGGCTTTGTTTTCAAAATCCACTTAAGCTTAAGAAAGGATACGTTGTGATACTACGGACAGACGGATTCTAGCATGATTCATACGCAAACTAGACGAAGCATTGTCACGCTAAAACCCACGATCCTACATTTAAGCGAAAGTGAACCACCTTAACAAGCCTATATACTTGACCAACTTTCTAGAATGACAAGTTTGTCAAGTCAATAAGGAAACGAGCACCGAATATTTTAAATCTCCTCCTAGTCAACGGTAGACATTGACACATGAGAAGTAGTTTCGAACTCATCCGCAAAGCCACAATAAAAGTCGGAATAAAGTAGACCCAGTCTAATAGCATGTCTCCCTAGTGCACAGTGACCTGTTAGCACCGAGACTATAGCGCAGAGCAGGTTACGATTTAATTGAAGCAGCTAACTAGTGTGTTTTTATCCAATTCAGATAATATCAATTATAAGATTTGACAGGAGTATTTATCTACCCAAGTGTATTTAGTTTCAAGTGGTTTGCCAATATCCGAGAAATGGATGTCAGAAAGCAGAGTGCTTGCTTTAACAAGCACGTCTGGTCTTAAGTTACCCCATATGTTATTGCTATCCATTTGTCCTGGTCACTGACATACCTAGCTAGCTCGCTAAATGGTTTAACCTAGCATTATCGAACTTTTAAAGATATTGTTGTAGCGCTTATCAGAGATTTGATCAACTAGTCTAGATTACGAAGGAAACTTGTTACAGCCAATATGTTTTGTATATATAGCAAACTATGTTCTAGAAATTTCTTATTTGAAAAATTCATTTACAAGCGAATTGTATGAATTCTTAAAGGCAATGAAGGGTTAAATCGGCTTTTTGATATAAAATTTGTGCTGATGCCTAGAGGCATGAATGTATAATTTTAAGGAAGCCCACTGCCTTCGAATAAAGATTTCTTCAATAAACAACTATTGTTTTATCAAAAAAAAACACCACGAAATCCTGTTGTTCAAATAGTGAGTATTATAATCTATATAGATTTAAGGTATGTAACCTAACATATATATTTAGTTGTGAATAATCATTAACCCTTTATAAACATCTTGCCACAGGAATGTTTCTCTTTCACTAATTCACCATTGAGTAAAATATTTGGCGCGTTCTAACTGTCTATTCTTAATTCATCAAAAATATTGTAAACAAAACAAAAAAAAAAATACAAATTGAATAAAATACAAAACGAAAAAAAACATCAAAAACAAAAAAGGAAAAAAGTCATGGAGGCATCAAGGGAAAAAAACAAAGGATAATTGAAATCCAACAAAAACAACAACAACAGCACGAAACCACAAATGTTCAAATTCGAGTGCGTTCAATTGGAAAGAAACTATGGCACAAAAGGACAACCAATTGAAGTGTTTTATACGTGTGTTGGGATGTGTGTGAGGGCAGCTGAATGAGAATTCAATAATTGCATTAATTACAGCGTCCCAGAAGAAATTGCTGCAATAGCAGATGACGTTAAATACATCCAGCACGAGGCAGCTGTTAGCAGCTGGTGTGATAAAAATAAAGTTGTTTTTCGTTTTTTTTTTTTTTGAATATTGCGTTGTTGAAGGATATACATTATCACCTTGAATTTGATATAAGCAATTAAAGGATTTTTTTATCACCTTCAAATATATATACAATATATATTTCGAATATATATAAATTAATTTACCTTTCTAACGCGTTTTTGTATTATTCGCTCGGCGGCGTAGACCCTGTCATCCGAGCTTCCCATTACGTTATCCAGTTTAAGATAATTTGCCAGAAATTTTACTTAGAAAAATATTTGACAACAATTTACTTTGTAATGACACTTATTATTATTAGTTTGAGCAATTTCATTGATTTTTTAGTTCACAAATAAAGATTTATTATTAAAAATTTATTTTATGTTGTTTACAACTTTAAAATATTGTTTATTTACAATTAAATTTTGTGATTATTTGATTCACAAAAAAAAACAAATAATGCATTTCTTTGAAAACGCACAAGAAACTGATGTGGAAAAACCCAAAGAAGAAAACAAAAACGAAGAATGTGAGAAAAATATACAAAACGTCCTTCAATTTTATGCTTGACTCCTTTTTACATATGCCTTTTCAAATACATTCCGACTCGCTCACACTTGTACACGCACTTTTATGCTTTTCACCGAAAGAAAATCAGTAAAAATTTTGCGTATAATTTTTAAGAAACAAATGCTTAACTCAAATATACAATTTTTTGTATAACATTTATATCACATTCAATATTAAACAAATATAATTGTGTTTTTTTACAAAATTATTTGTTTACAATTTTATTTTATTACTGAATTTTATTAAATTTATTCATAACACAATTCCGCTGCTACTCTCGCGTCCGGTGTTTTTTGGAATGAATTCGCTTTGCCTTTTCGTTTATTCATAGGGTTGCATTTCTTATGCCTTCAATTCGCTTCGTATAAGTATTAAAATAATAATTTGTGTGTACGTAATTATATAAACAACATACACAAACTATTTATTAATGATTGCTTTTATATTTGAATATAATTTTATATATCTAGATTTATGTAGAACACATTTGCATTCAAGAATATTCTTGAATAATTATCACACCAAACATTTCGCCGCATCTAATTAAATGAATTGGAAAAAAGTGCTGCCAAGTCTTGACACATAAGAAAAGCTTTAAATTTTGTTGCTTAATTTAGCTTAGAATATGACATATAAATTAATTTTTAGTACATTATAAAAAGAAATTTATTATTTATTGCCCATTGTTTATATTTGATATATAATGATTTTTATAAAATTTATTGTACAATTGGGAATGTGTTAATACGCACGTACGCACATATGTGTATAAAACTAGTGCAATACACTGAAAAAAATAATTGTATGATTAAAAAATAATAATTTCAAAATGACACATATATGTGTAACATATGTAATCTGGCTAAATAGTTATATTATTTAAATAAATTTAAGATAAATAGATTTTTGAACTTAAAATGAATGGATTTTAACTTTTTTATAGATTAAACATATACAAAAATTTTTTAAGAATAAATGAAGAAAATACGATTAAAAAGTATATTGTGCAAACATATATAAGCGTGTTAATTATTTAAATAAATTCAAGATTACATGGTTTTTGTAAGGTGTATGCGATTATAAAACTTTTTTATATATTATAAATAAACAAACATTTTAAAAAATACATGAAACAAGTGCAATTAAAGAGTATATTGTATATACTTTTTATAAGTATATTTAATTTTCTAACTTGTTAGTTGTTAACAGGCTTACGCATAAAAGTTTTTAAATATTATTAATTATGTTGTGAAAGGAAATTTTGTGATTTTAGGCACATTCATAAAAAACTTATTAATTGTAAAAACATAATATTTGACAAATTGCAACAGTGATGCTAATATATCAACAAGAGACTTTAGCAAGAGACTTGTTGTTTTTATTGTACTTCAAAGCCGCTGAAAACACTTATTATTTGTGAACAGTCACTTCTACGTATAGAGTTTGATTTAATGATTTTCACTGTTTGAAGTCTCGATGAGATGAGTTTAGCTTATATATGTTTCTCTTAAATTTTATTTCTTACGCTCTAAGTTTTAGTCTTATCAACCTTAAGCTTTTGTGTCTCGATAAATTTGTGCCATATATTATTAAAAAAATTATTGATATAAAAATATGTTCACACTTCAAAATTAACGAAGGTCAATTAGTAACATTATGCTAATTAAGTGTTTATACTAACACAACTTAATTTGTGAAAAGCAAAATAAAACATAAAACTAGCAGCAAATAGTAAACGGTTAAAACATACATTTTATTAAATTATATTATAAAAAATAAAATAATATATTGTTTTTGGTGCTTGTATTGCTTAGGTGCTAGAAGTTGACGAAAATTTTTATAAATTTCAATGTTCTAAGGAGCATTCCTTCTAAGTCATATTCCACTTGTTTGGTTCTTCAGCTATTGGTTCGTACCGGTTCAGTTTGTAGTTTTTACATTTATTATACAAAATACGATTGATGTCAATGTATCTCAAAAATTAAACTATATTGACATATAGTTCAACAGAAGCATTTGGTTAAATAGCTGCCTACTGAAATCCGTTTTCATACGGATTTTAAGTAAAAAATCCGCTTTATACCGAATTACAATTATAGTAATGAATAACATGGAGCTTACGCCCCAAAAGGTGAAATTGGATTAACATTGTTTACTTTGAAACAACGGTGATCGATAATCTCGATAATCTAATATAGTACTATTTGAGTAAAAGTTAACGAGGTGAAATATATATTTCCTACAACAATCTTAAATACAAGAGATTATGAAGTAAAAAAGATGAATCAGTTGAAAGCACTTTAAAGGTTTATTTTGTGTTGTTGTTTGGTAGATTTAAAAAGAATTATTTGTTATTGTTTTTACCGTCATTTTTCTTAAATTTTACTGTTAAAAACCGAACAAATTAATTTATTTGTTTAAACAAAAAATGCCTTAATTGTTCAAAAGAGGATGCTATACATCTTCTCAAAGATGCTATACCACCTCATCAAAGATAATGCAAGACCTTATACAAGTCTGTTAACCCACCAAAAGTTTTACTTTTTGTATGTGATATATTACCGTGCTCACTTTATTCTCAAGTTCTGGCGTCTTCAGATTATTACTTGTACAAGTTATTATTAGAGGTTAATATAACCTCCAAAATAAAAAAAAACAACCTGAAGATAGAAGTGTATGAGTGGGGATAGGAGTTTTAGTAGTATGAATTAAGTCTTGTTATATATAATTATTTATTTTTTTATCAATAATATTTGATAATATTTAATAATAATATTTTTAATAATATTTATAATAATTTAATATCAATAAAAGCATTGTTCTTTTTAATTAAAAAAAAACAAGCTTAGTAGATTGATAGATAAAATACTTATATGACTATATTTACAGTTATATTTTAAAATAATTTTGAACCAATATATTTCATATCGAAATAAATAATATTTTTATATCCTTAAAATAGATTCCTTTGTACATTCACACTCAGATATCACACATGAATAGCTCTTAATTATGTGCTAAAGGGTATGACACTTCACACACAGAAAAGCACTTGTAACTGTTAATGAAGCACACGTGATTAGGTGAGGCGACAAATTACATACTTCCGCCCACAGGAAAATCCCTGACACATCGGGTGAAGTACAAAACAAAAGTGTAAAATTCTACAAAAGAAAAACAAAAAAAACAAAACAAAAATTAATTGGAACTTTTACAGCTAACGCAATCATAATAACTAACACAATTCTAAAATGCCGTTATATATATTTATATATATGTATATATATATATAAATATACACAAGTGAATACATTCACACTGAACTGAACCGAACACTCAATCGCAATTACGGGAAAATGATTAGATTACGAATATAAAAAAAAATACATTTCAGCATTTAGTTAAAGACCGAAAGGAACGGGTGTGAAGTAAAACAGTAGAGCAATTATGGGGGAGTGGGGCAAGTTGAAGTACTCTTGAACTCTTTCCACAATAGTAAAGAATAGCAAACACGTCACAGAAACTGGGATTTTTATTGTACAGTTGTAAAAAAAATCACACCACAGGAAATTTAATTTATGCTTGTAAATAATATTTCTTAGCAGAGGTGTTGGGAAAAAGGGTATGCCTATAGTTAGTTAAGACTATAGTTTATATATAGTTACTTAATATTATGTTCCCACTGCAACTTAAACAACTTATGTTAATAAAATTAAAATGTGGTCGTTTCCATTGAAATAAGTTGATTTACATTTTACATATAAAACATATAAATATTTCAAATTTTGGCAATTTTGTTTGTAGGAATATAAAAATATTTTCGCCTGGTTAAGATATCTTTATCTAAAATCCATTTTTTCTCTCTGAAAGCAATATTTTCCTCTTAATCAACTTTTTATAAAAAAAAACCTTTTAAGATATATTTTTAGAAAGTCCTCTTATTCGGATAATACGGTTGCACAATGTTCTAATTGGCTGTTACAACCTAACCTATATAACTAACGCTATTTAGATAAACTGTTTTTGATAGGGTGATTACTTGTCTTGTATTTTGTTTAATCTAATGTTGGGAACGATAGTCCGAGCAGCAGATTTAAACCGTATTAGCACAATATTTGATATATGCCGACGATATTGATATTATTGCGCTAAATATCTGTGCTGTCAGTGAGACTTTTACCAGGAAATTCTTAAAAATAAGCAAAGCTAATGAATCTTGTGGTAAATGAGAACACAACAAAATGCTTTCCTTCAAGAAACAAATGTCATTGTTGATAAATATAAGTTTGAAGTTTTTAAAAGTCAAAAATGACGTCAGCGTAGAGACTTAACAAAGAATCACTCTTGGAATTGAGAAATAAAACCCTGATTCGGCAATTAAAAATCACGCTCTACAAGTTTCTTATCTTACCTGTTTTGCTGTAGGATATAGAATCTTAAATAAAAAAAAACCGTTATGAGAAGAAACTAAGAGCATCCAAGAAAAAAATCTTTCGTAAGATTTATCATGGTCCCTTATGCGTTGGCAACGTGTAACGAATTAGATAAAAAGATGGACTGTATGAACTATAATATGACATTGATAGTTTAGTGTATAAAGATTCAGCGGCTCCGGTTGGAAATTTGATGGATTCAGTACCTAGAGCAAAGGTGTTTGGTTCAGTGAGAACGACGTCCATATCTTCATTAGAAGGTAGTCAGGTGACAAATGATTTGAAGGCACTTAGTAGTACTAACTAGGGACAGTAAGTTACGAATCAGGTTGAC